GTGACCAGGGGCCCAGTTCCCGAGTTCAAGCAACTCTCGTCGCCCGCAGATCTACAACCCAAGGTCAATTTACAGCCTCCGTTCCGTCGCGCCAACCCTGAAGGCGGTTTCATCAGCGTATGTTTTCAAGCCTCTACAGCTATTGGCAAACTTTTGCTCACCATATGATCAGCCCCTCCAAGCTCTTACTGTTCAATTGCCTGCTACTTATCGCATCTGTAACCCTAGCTTCAAATATGAGTCGTCGCGCAATCCTCGCAGAGTCTTGACCAAGCCCAGCAAGGGTACCAAGAATGATGGCTACGACAACGAAGACAGTGACTACATCCTCTACGTCAACGATATTCTTGGATCGGAGGAGGCCGGCCACAAGTATGTTGTGTAAAATTGAAGTATGCTGCTTGTCATTCTAACATATTCTCTAGAAACCGTTACCTTATTCTGGACGTCTTGGGGCAGGGTACCTTTGGTCAAGTCGTGAAATGTCAGAACCTCAAGACACAAGAAGTAGTGGCTGTCAAGGTCATCAAGAACCGAACTGCCTACTTCAATCAGAGTATGATGGAGGTTTCGGTCCTCGATTTGGTACGATCGTCAATTCCATACTTAAAGATTGGCACTAACAAGGAGTAGCTCAACACGAAGCTTGACAAGAATGACGACCACCATTTGTTGCGACTTAAAGACACTTTCATTCATCGCCAACATCTTTGCTTGGTTTTCGAGCTCCTTAGCGTCAATCTTTACGAGCTTATCAAGCAGAACCAGTTTAGAGGACTCAGCACTACTTTGGTTCGCGTGTTCGCTCAGCAGCTCCTCAACGGTCTCGCACTACTTAATAAGGCTCGTCTGATACATTGCGATTTGAAGCCTGAGAATATTCTTCTCAAGAATCTCGAAAGTCCCATTATCAAAATTATTGATTTTGGTTCAGCCTGCGACGAGCGACAAACAGTGTATACTTATATTCAATCTCGATTTTACAGATCTCCCGAGGTTTTACTTGGTCTCCCCTATTCTTCGGCCATCGATATGTGGTCCCTTGGATGCATTGTGGTGGAACTGTTCCTGGGACTTCCCTTGTTTCCAGGATCTTCTGAGTACAATCAGGTTTCGCGAATCGTTGAAATGTTGGGTAACCCCCCGAACTGGATGATCGAGATGGGCAAGCAGGCGGGCGACTTTTTCGAAAAGCGGCAAGATGAGTTCGGACGGCGGACATACCAGCTTAAACCCATGGAACAATATGCCCGAGAACGTGGCACCAAGGAACAGCCTAGCAAGAAGTACTTCCAGGCCAACACCCTCCCCGAGATCATCAAGTCCTACCCCATGCCTAGGAAGAACATGAAGCAGAGCGAGATAGATAGAGGTAAGACCCGAGCCGTTAGGAATATTGGGTATGGCCATGCTAACCGTTACAGAAATGAACAACCGCATCGCGTTCATTGACTTTGTCCGTGGCCTTCTTACAATCAACCCTCTCGAGAGATGGTCTCCCCAGCAAGCCAAGCTTCATCCGTTCATCACTCAACAGAAGTTTACTGGGCCTTTTATACCACCAATGAATCTCAAGTCTAGCTCGCTGAATAGGTCTCCAGCACCTGGCACCCAACAGCAGCAACAGGCCGAAGCACTTAGCAAGCAGCGGGCTCAAGCGGCAGCAGCTCAACATCAAGCACAACAACAGGCTGCTTCAGCTGCCCCTACTCCTTATGCCAACCAGTACGCGCCTCAAGGTCATGCGCAACCGCAGATGTACGGCAACAACTCGATGTATTCTCCCGGAGGTAACCACGTCAATATGCCTTCGGCATACGGCCAACAACAACACGGGCAATATGGACAAATGGTCATGTCCCAACCGCCTCAGCAGATGCCTCAGGGGCAATATGCACAAATGCCCCAGCCCAACATGTATCAGCATCAGCAGGGTGGTATGAGGCCAGCACGTCAACGCGCTTCAACCATGGAACAGCAACAGAGCGGTATTCCCGCCGCCATTCAACGGGTAGCTAGCCATCTCGACCCCAGTCAACCGATTCGTCTACAACCTAGCCCGGCGTACTACCCGCCCACTGGGGAAAGTATGGCATCTGGTAGCATCGATAACCGAACGGCAGCAGGCCGAAGAGGTAGCCGCGTGCAACAAGGTGGCCGAGGCAACAGGGACTTCATCCGCAACTTGGAGGAGCGCACTCTGGAAGAAGGTTTTATGGGAAACCAGAACACCTGGCATTGAAGTGGCCTAACCTAACGAGGGACCAGATGTCCGCGCCAACCTGTGATGCGAGCGACTTCACTCGATAAACGAAGCCCTGCCACCGATGTCTCTCTATAACAGCGTGCAATAGCCCGAAGTTCATGGTTGGTAACGAAGCAAAACTCCATGGTGGTTCTAATATACTAGGAGTCCGTCCCCCCTTCGAAACCCATGCGCCAACGAGGCAAGAGACGCCCCGTGCCATGTTGGCGTGTTCGAAACTGCCTAGTCGACTTGGTTGGAATAGGTTCAAGAGGAGGCGTGAGTCCTCTTCATAGTCGAGGAAAGGGAACTTCAGCGCCAAGGTCTCAACGAACTCGAAGCATTATATTCACAGTTGCAATGCTTTGAGCGTTTTGCGCAGGAATAGGTCGGGTCAAATGATACAGATCCATGATGAAACCGGTGGTATTTACAGGATTTCTTTGTCTTGACACGATGAGGCACGCCTCAGAAACGGCCGCGGAGGTTATGAGTTTAGTCTCGGGGCGGCTTTCCTTTTTTTCTTCTTTTTTTTCCCTGTCGTCAGTATAGCACTTGGAGGGACGGGGTTTCTGGTCAGGAATTCAACATGGTGCAGAGTTGCCAAATCTCAGCTGAACATGATTCATGCCTAGGCACTATGTAGCCTGGCTGTAGATATTGTTATTCTTGTCTCGAGTTCTTGGTGTATGATGACGGACGGACCGCGCTTGGCATATCATGGGGTAAGGTTCTTGGGTTACAATTCCCATCTTGTAGTTGTATTGATATCATTTGGTTTTGGGGGCTTCAAAGGGGTCATATCTGGGCGGACGAATCGAGGCATAAAATCATGAATTACCCCTGATGAATGCGAATCGTTCTGCATCCTCAAGTGATACCCTTGTCGGAGTCTGGGACAGTGAACTGCTTCCACATGGTCGTAACTGGTATCCATTTTCAGGGGTACCCGAAGTATAAAGAGAAAAAGATGAAATAATTAGCTTCAATAGCCCATTTTGGACAAGAAAGGGAACCCCGAACGCCCAGCCCAAAGTTTCGTACACATACCACCCCCTTCTCGTTGTTCACCATGAGATTGCCCGGCTTTTTAGTGCTGATAAGTACCTCCCAGTCCATTTTCTAGACATCATGTTCCAAGAAAGTTTGTGAAGTAGTCGTCAAATGCAACAAAGAAAAAAAACAAGAGCCATGCGATAGTTCATCATCGTCCACCGCGACCTCTTTGACCACCTCGGCCTCGTCGGTTGCCGCCCACGAGTTTATCGCTGTACAATTGGTTGTTCCTTGATGAGCCGTTTGTGGTAGTGTCCATTAAATCAGGGAAGCCCATTGAGCCATCGACAATGTTGTCGTTAGCGTTGGCCTTGTTTCCGCGGGTGCCACGGGGACCGCTTGGGGCGTTTCTTGGCGCATTGTTGGATGTAATGGTATTGTTTGAAGGGGCTCCTAGCTTAGGGTAGACCTTGATGATTCTACCATCGGCCTGTAACAAGTTTTTAGCAAGAGTTCAGAATGAAATTTGGTCCTGATGGACTCACAGTCTTATCGTTGAAGGTCTCAATTACTCGCTCACCACCCTCGCGCGAGGCAAAGGCCAGCTCGAAGAGGAGGAATGGGTTTGACTTAACAATGCGACAGCTCAGAATCTCGCCTCCGATGGGAGTCATAGCGCTCTCGATATCAGCGGCTGTAGTGCCAGGGGCAAAGTTTTGTGCCATGATAGTGAATGGACCTGCGAGACCCCGAATTGTCATTCCCATGCCATTACCGGCGCTGCTCTTGCCTTTCACGATGTTGACTTGTTGTGGCGCATCGCCAGAAGTGTCCATGCGATCCACGGCAGCAGAGAGACGAGCAGCGCGGCGATTGTTGGCTCTCTTATTAGCAGCATTGGGAGCTGAGATGCGGGAGCTTAGGTCGCCCGAGACGGAATGATGCAGATCGTGAGTCCATTCTCCATTGACATTGCCAGGCGCGGGTTGGGTCGACCGGGTGCCGATGGTGGAAGTTCGCTGCTGTAAATGTTGGCTTCAACTAATCGCTTCCTCTCTTTTGCTGTATCTACCTTCTGGACGCCGACACGGCTTGCTAGCGATTGGCTGGGGGCGGACTTGAGCTTGGAGGGGGCGCTTTGGCGACGGTTCTTTGAGAAGATGCGATCGGCGAGAGCTTCGTTCTTCTTTCGCTCACGACCTGACGAATGATGTTAGGAGAGGACATGAGAACTTGGGAAGATTGATTGTTGCTTACCCTCCTTAATGATCTTTTCGAAATCTGTAGCAACCTTGGCCATGATTGAGACGGTTTGGAAGAGAATCGGTACAGGGCAGAAATTGATGAGTATAGTAAAAATGTAAAATGAGTTCAGAAGAACAAGGAATGACTGATGATGCTTCGAGGGTCAACAATTCGCTTGTTATGTCTCGTCCCTATAAAGGTTAAAAGAAAAGCAACGTTGACTGGACTGGACTGCGACCGCGAAGCGCGTCTCCAATTAGAAATGGGAGAGAGTTGTTGGCGGCCTGCAGGGGAAGGGGGTGGCTCTATGGCAACTAAGTTACAAGGGATGAATGGATCCAATCGCATAAGCATACGCGCGGCAAACTTAGCGCACCTCATGCAACGCCCCTCGCTCGGCTGATAAGATAAGATATTCTTTTTTTTTTGTGGTTCTGATGGACGGATCCATGGTCTCCCGCGCCGACTTGGGTACATGTTGAATCTCGTGATCAACTTAAGCAGCATCTCTCCCATGGCTGATAGGTTATTGCACGGAGGCGCATGCCTTCGCAGAGCTCTACAGCTCGTATCGCGGCAGAGACCGGAAATTCGACCTGCTTCTGCCCTTCAAGCCCGTTCGTTTCAACACTCGCAGCGAATGTTCAACTCTACAACGACACCAACTACCGAGGCGACGACTGCAGCTGAAGACGCAAGCTCTATAGCTGATGCTATCAAGAAAGATGCTCCGAAAAGCCTCGAGGCACCAGCTGACGAAGCCATATGGAAAAAGAAGGAAGCCCTTAAAATGGAACGAGCAGTTAACAAGGAGTTACAATATCTGAACAACGATCCTTGGAAAGTTGCAGAATATGTCAGAAAAGCACTTGCAGCAAAGAAATTCGAGGAAGCCCATCTCTTGGTTCAGAAAGGCAGTAAAGATATGCAATTGGTTGTGCCATGGAATTTGTTGCTGGAATACCTGCTCGAGCAACAACAAGTCAAGGCAGCGCTCAAGCTATTCAACGAGGTAGATTTAAGATATAGCCTCCAGGTTCCATCTGTGATACTGACATTGTTTGAAGATGAAGAAGCGCGCACAATTCCCTAACGCGCAAACCTATACAACCCTGTTCCGTGGTCTCGCCAAGTCGCAACACCCTAAAACCGCCGTCTTCGAGGCTGTAAAACATTACAACGCCCTTTTCAAGGACAGTCGCCTCGAGCCGAACAGCACTCATCTTAATGCAGTGCTCAATGTGTGCAACCGAGCAGGCGATATGGACTCCATGTTCTCCATTGTCGACACTCTCAATGAGTCAACCCGAGCTCCAACTTCCTACACCTATACTACCGTTCTCAATGCTATACGATTCAACACACTCGATGGCTTGGAAGAATTGACACCTGAGCAGAAGGACTTCAATCGCAAGAACGGTATCCAGCGCGCCAAAGCTATCTGGTCAGAAGTCATGAGTAAATGGAGGCAAGGACGCCTGATCATCGACGAGGAGCTCGTCTGCTCAATGGGTCGAATGATGACCATCTCAACCGACCTCAACGAGAAGAAAGAGGTTCTTGATCTTATTGAACAGACAATGAACATACCCAATTTGTCCAAAGTCAAAGAAATGTCAGCTGAGGATGCTCGCAAGACAAATCCTCACACAGGTCAAGTGGTTAAGAAGGATAAAAACGGTGTCTTCACCAGTCCAGGGAACAATACATTGTCTCTGATCTTGAAGGTTGTGTTGCAGACGAAGCTGAACAGCCTGGGCATCAAATACTGGAATTTCATTCTTCGCCAATATAATCTCGAGCCCGACAGGGATTGCTGGCTGCGTCTCTTTACTATTCTCAGGCAAGCTAAAGCAAGTGGTCATGCTACTGAGATTCTGGACATAATTCCAGCGAGTATCATCATCCCAAGCTTCTATCGCATAGCCCTTGAAACATGTATTCGTGATAACATTAACCCGAATGTCATCAAGAATGCCGATCGCGCTCTCGACAGCATGATGAAGCACCTAGAGGTGCCTGACGCTCATGCCATGCGCCTGTACCTCAACGCTTCTCAGTCTACACACTATCATCTGCGTGCTCGTGCTAGAGAAGGAGACGTGGCTGGTGCCAAACGTGCCTACGGCATCCAGATCACCGATGCGCTTGATCGTTTGTGGGTACCCTACCGCAAACTACACGATCACTATTTCAAACAAGTTAAGGCTGAGACGAAGGAGCAAAAGAAGGTTCTTTACAACGATCAACGCGAGGTCATTGCTCTCGCACGCATTATGTATGGATCATTCAACAAGGTTCTTCAGCAGGAGATGCTCCCTGAGGAAGTCCTCAAGAAAATACGCCCTGTGGGGGGACGCATCAACCGCGAGATTCAGGCCTTCTATGCCAACCGAGAGGAAATGGAACCTAATTTGCGCAAAACGAAGGGCCGTGGCACAGCCGAGGAAGATATGTCCGCATACAATGAGGCCATGAATATGGTCAACTTTTGGGACACGACTCAAGCAGGAAAGCCCCGGTCCCCAAAACAGACAGACCAGGGGCGGTTGTATCGTGATAATGGCCCAGGTAATGGCTATCGACACGACAAAGGCTCAAGTTCTGCACCAAGATCTGCAAGACCTGCCTCCCTCTCGTTCGAAATCTATCATAAAAAAAGTCAGCCGCCAACCCAAAGACGAATACCAAAACAAGACCTGCGCAGGCTTCCAGACGGCACGCGGCCAGTGAGGCGACCCGTTTATGGGGGTTATCCAGGCCCCAAGCCTAACTTGAACGCCACTCGTGACGACAGGAGGCTTGGCTCTCGCGGCGACGGGAGAGCCCATGAAAGGCCGAAGATGAACTCTGGAGGTCGTGGTCCCAGCGACGACAGAAGGGATAACGAAAGGTCATATATGGATTCCAGAGGTCGTGGCTCTCCCGGCCCTCGTGGCTTTGACAAACCGCGACGATGAGGCTCCTGCACATTCAAGTATCAAATTGTGCTTGGGTCTATAAACAAGAGCTTTCAGGCTCGTGTAAAACTAAACTGATGTTGTGTACGATATAGACGCAAAATACTGATAGAGCATAAGGCGGCGTTTTGTTGGGCAATGGCACTTCTTTGCGTATACAATACATCACTTACACAACCGAAGCCTTAGACCTGTTGAATATTTGTCATAACCGGCTTACTTCTTATCCGGTTTGATCTATCCTTCACGTCATCACAAGCTTAAGAATGGAAGATCGTTTTACAATGACTATCCATTCTACTTTATTTTAATCGTAGTTGAGAATAGGTAAACAAACGTAGTCTCTGCTACTAGTTGAATGCCTTCTATTCCATAACCAGCTCTGTAAACTACTTGTTAGGCCCAGCTTAAACAATAACGTACCCTCATCAGGCCCAGCAACATCACTCAAGTTCAAATTAAGACAACGAATCAAGAAAGAGATTCGAGGTCATGGTTGGATATATTGACCTGCTCCCTTGGCTGGAAGATCGATTTGAGAGCTGTGATCGCGTAATTGATGTTGATGAATGCGTGGCTGGCACCAGTCGCGATGCATCGCCGTCTTTGATAGCCAAGTACGAATTTTCGAGTACAGTTGTGGGTAGTTGAATCGTGGTGATCGAGGTACGCCGCGATGGCGAGCCTTGGCCAGGCTCTCGCGTGAGATCATCTTTCATAGCCAGTAATATGTCGGAATCACCCTGAGTCCAGTTTGACGGAATCTGACCTCTTTGTAAGTGGCTATGGCCTCCAGATTTGTTAAAACGACGAAGTGAGTCGACTCTTGTCGTAGGAGCGACCACATCGCAAGAGGACAAAGGCCTGGCGATTGATAGCCTCTTCCGCCCCATTGGTTGTAGTGTAAGTGCTGCCGAGACCTTGGGACGAGTTGTGATGCTTTCGCGCTTAGTAGTGGTTCGTGAGGAGGACCGCAGCGATTTGTACGCCAGATGCTTATCATCCGGTGCCACTTCTATGCAAGCTCGTAAGGTAGATGATCTTTCCAGGCTACAGGCAGACATGTCAGGAAGAGGGTCTAGCTGAGGTGGATCTTTGTCGATGACTGGTGAAGGGAACGCAAATTCAGAGTCCTCAAGCAACGGCTTGGATGATTCGGTGATATGAATGTGTGACCCGACCGGAAGCACTGAATAGTTACTTGAGGATCTCCCATTGCGAGTCCATCTCTCTCTGGCATATTGAAATGCACTGCTGAGGTTGGGTTGGTGATAAGAAAGATCTTCCACTGGAATATAGTCAGATACGCCGCATGCGAGCAGTTATTAGCCCACCCACCTGTGCTGAGGAAATGAGGAAGTCCAGGGACTTCAGATACTGACAATTCCTCTAATTTTGTTGAAGAGGAAGCTGTCTTTCGTCGTTTCGGTTTCAACCATCGCGCAAGATGAGAATACGACGAATTCTGAGAATTTGATCTCTGACTTCTGCGCCCTGTTGACATATTCCCGCTATGCCCATTAAAATCGGTCTCCTCAGACCTATCGAAATGAGTCCTGCGGCGATTCAGTGGCAGTCTCTAGCTGCTAATTTTGTTGTGAGACTTGGCAAGCTCAGGGAACGCAGGGGGAGGCTGAGGTTGGATCTTTTTCTTGAGCTTCGCCTGCTAGACGCCAAAGATACTGTTGGGCATGATTTAAGTATGGATGGGAGCGGATATAGATGATGTGACGAGACAAAGATCGTCAATCTTGACTGATGTGTGATGAAAAAGGCGGCCTGGATATAGAAGGTAGGAAGATATCCGCTGGTAGAGAGGGTGACGGAACAAGTCGAGAGTTTGTGTTGGTTTTGGAAAGACCTTTGACTGGACTTGCAAGTTGCGTCATGGGTAGCTCTTGTAAAGAACATATAAGAGGACATTCGTGAGGAAGGAGTGAATTACTAGCAAATGCAGCATCACCATTACCAATTGCTTAGTCCATCAAGACCATCCATAAGGGGGTCCTGGAATTACGGCTCCAACCTGGTGTTTATTGGTATCCAAGCTGAACTGCCGAATCTCCAATACATGGTCAGGTAGGTACGTATAGGTGCATCTGATCCGGGAGATAAATTGCCGTTTAATGTGGGGTTATCTCCGTCCCGGGTGAGTGGGGCCGCACCGGACGGCCGGCCACACCTCAGTCGGGCGACGACAGGATTTGGGATGTCTTAGGACCCATTAATATTGTCTCAAGACTAGCTGAGTTGAAGAAGAATGATCTGAACTTGAACTACCCCTCCTTATCTTTACACAACTTAATCCAAGCAACGATACTGCACAACGGATGGGCATATAAATTAATCAACCAACATCAATTCAGAGAGCGGCAACTCAATAAGCAACTCGTTTATAAAGACGTTGACTGCAGCCACTTAATGAAATTGGTGTCTCTGAAGGAAGGCAATATTATCGAGTTGTCATTAAACCGTAAAGAGGAGGTTGTGGAGTCGTAGGTACGTAGTAGGGAGTGAAAGACCTGAGAATAGTGCCGGCAGCACTAACAGCAAACGGGTTGCGTAAAGTGAAAAGTCGCGTCGATGGGTACGAGACTAACTATTTTAGGCCGTATATCCTTTATGCAAATACCAATTGCTGCATCAACAAGTACCTCCATGCGCGGGGTACTTCAAAGTTTCTGCATCACCTATCTCGAAGCGCCTATTGGCTGCTCTCGCGTCAATCACTTAAATGGATGGCCCCTCCTTCAACACGAGCCGAGACGCGGCTCAGGAGGGACAACGCGCTTTGACGCGTCTCCCTAACCACTTTTCTAAATGAGCACCTCAGCGCTGGTTACCGGGGGACCAACCCAAACCAAGTAGCACCTCCACCATTTCCGTTCTCGATACCATCATTTCCCTACACTACAATCACGAGCAAGATACGATCAAAAGTGACATTCAGGCATATACTCTCCCTCTATTCTCTCACTGATATGCCACCGGCCTAAACTCTTCTCCCGTCATGTCTCACAGAGCGCGGCTCGCTGAGCTCAAAGCTCTTCGAGAGTCTGGCAAGAAGGTCTTTGATACTTACAAAGTTGCCGACGTCGACAATTTATACGACGAAGTTGACGAGGATGGATATAAGAAGGTTGTCCGAGAACGATTAAATCAGGACGACTTTGTTGTCGACGACAATGGCGAAGGCTACGCAGATGATGGCCGCGAAGACTGGGATCGAGTGCAAGCCTATGGCTCAGAAAGCGAAGAAGAGGCCACCATCCGTGGCCGACCCAGTAAGACTGGTTAGTCGTCCGCCAGAACATGTTCAGGACAGCCCGCATACTCACATATCATGTAGCAAAGAAGAATCGCCAGGAGGAGCAAGCCAAGCTAGCGGCCAATGACAAAGACATCAGTGAATACTTCAAGGGCGCCAACAGGGCCCAACCAAAGCCCAAGGTACACATTCCGTTTGTTAGATCGTGGATCGACCCAACTAAATATCTATTCAGGTCGTCAAGACAAAGGAGGACGACGACTTCCTTTCAAATCTCCTCGGCGAGGTCGACAACAACATTCCTGCCCCTGCTCCCCATATCTCAAGAGTCGGAAGATCTGGCGGTCGTCGCAAGGCTAGGGCCCTTTCACCTGCTCCTGAGCCTATTCCCAAAAAGACCAAGACCCTCGATACTCGGCTACCGTCCCCTCTCCCACCAGCCCCTGAAGAAGAAGATGGCTTCTTTCCCTCCGTCGACGATGACATCCTCGAGACTGCCGATATCCCCATGAGCGACCCTGCGCCCTCCTCTCCAGCTGCAAAGGTCGCGCAGAGAAAGGCACAGGTCAAGCAGGAACCAAAGGATGACGACGACAACGAAGACATGATGGAGGTTGCGCATGCTGGAGCCATTGCCACAACCAGTGTTAATTTGGCAAGTTCAAGGCCGATCAAGAAAATTCAAAAAGCAGAGTCCTATCCCACGCCTGCCAGCTCCTCTCCTGTTAAACCCAACGGCGCTCAAGTCGACTCGACTTCATGGAATGCCCTCACAGAGAGGCTGAACGTCGTCACAAGTTCGCCTGCAGAAACAAAAACAATAGGCAAAATCGACTACAAGGATGCAATTGAGGAAGACGGCAGTCTCAACTTTTTCTGGACAGACTACACTGAGGTCAACGGCAGTCTGTGTCTCTTTGGCAAAGTTCTCAACAAGAAGACGCGATCATACGTCAGCTGCTTTGTGAAAGTTGACAACATCTTGAGAAAGCTCTATTTCTTGCCGCGCCAACACCGCCTACAGGATGGCGAGGAGACAGGCGAAGAAGTCGAGATGATGAACGTTTACGACGAGATTGACACCATGATGACCAAGATGAATGTCGGCATGTACAAGATCAAGGCTTGTACCAGAAAATATGCCTTTGAGCTTCGCGATGTCCCCAAAGAAGCACAGTATATGAAACTTCTCTACCCATACAACAGTGAGTAGCCTCATTCTCCTGTAGGCCCCCCAAAGCAGCTAACAAGTATCCCAGAGCCAGAAGTCGACCCCAACAGACCCGGTGAGACATATTCTCACGTCTTCGGTAGCAACACTGCTCTCTTTGAACAGTTTGTTCTCTGGAAGAATATCATGGGCCCGTGCTGGCTGAAGATTGAGGATGCCGATTTTGACAAGCTCAAGAATGCTTCTCACTGCAAGCTTGAGGTTTTGGCCGATCACCCCAACATGGTTTCTGTTCTTAGCGAGTCTGACAACCTCGATGCGCCCCCCCTGACTCTTATGAGTGTTTCATTACGAACTGCCTTCAATGAGAAGGAAAACAAGCAAGAGATTCTGGCTATTAGTGCCAGAATCTACGAGAAGATATCCCTCAGTGACACGACCCCTGCAGAAAAGCTGCCCTGTCGAACCTTTACCGTGATCCGGCCACATGGCCAGGCGTTCCCTATGGGCTTCGATCACCTTGCAAAGAAGAGGAATCGTGGCTTGATTGTATTGAAGAAGCAAGAAGCCGATATCCTCGCCTTCTTCTTGGCCCAACTTGATGTTGCGGATCCAGATGTAATTCTTGGACATCAATTGGAGGGTGTGGACTACAGTGTGCTCCTCAACCGCCTGTATGAAAAGAAAATACCAGGATGGTCCAGGCTAGGCAGGTTCCGTCGTACTCAGTGGCCATCGTCAATCGGCAAGACTGGTGGTAATGTTTTTGCTGAACGCCAGATCTTGTCGGGACGTCTGCTATGTGATCTCGCCAACGATGCTGGAAAGTCCGTCATGTTCAAGTGCCAGTCATGGAGCCTGACGGAGATGTGCAGTTTGTACCTCTCTGGAGATAACCGACGCCGCGATTTTGACAATGAGGTTGCCCTGAAAACGTGGGCCCGGGAGAAGCAGGGACTTCTCGATTACATCACTCATATGGAGGCCGATACACACTACATCGCAGCCCTGGCCCTAGGTGTTCAGATGTTGCCCCTGACCAAGGTTCTCACCAATCTGGCGGGTAACTCCTGGGCTCGAACTCTGACGGGCACGCGTGCAGAGCGAAACGAGTACATTTTGCTACACGAGTTCTATCGCAACAAGTACATCTGCCCTGACAAGCAGACTTTCCGCAGTCGCCAGCGTGCTGAAGAGGCACAGCGTGAAGAAGAGGCGGTTGAGGGGAAGAAGAAGGACAAGTATAAGGGTGGTCTGGTTTTCGAGCCAGAGAAAGGTTTGTATGATAAGTTTGTGCTTGTCATGGACTTTAACTCCCTGTACCCCTCTATTATTCAGGAGTTCAATATTTGCTTTACAACTGTCGATAGACCAGCCACAGTAAGTTTCTCGAGATTTCTGCTATAACCTCGACACTAACCAAATCTACAGACCGGTGAAGAAGATGAAGTCCCCGAAGTTCCAATCAACCAGGATCAAGGTATCCTACCTAGGCTCATTGCTACTCTCGTCAGTCGCCGTCGACAAGTCAAGAGCCTCATGAAGGACAAGAAGGCTACCCCCGAGGAGCTAGCCACATGGGACATCAAGCAGCTTGCCCTCAAGCTCACTGCCAACTCCATGTACGGATGTTTGGGTTATACCAAATCACGCTTCTACGCTCGACCACTGGCTGTTTTGACAACCTTCAAGGGTCGTGAGATTCTCCGCAGCACCAAGGAGCTGGCCGAGAGCAACTCACTGCAGGTTATCTATGGTGATACTGATTCCGTCATGATCAATGCCAATGTGGATAATGTTGCCGATGCGTTCAAGGTTGGTAACGATTTCAAGAAGGCAGTCAATGAGCAGTACAAGCTGCTTGAGATTGACATCGACAACGTCTTCCGCCGTATTCTTCTTCAAGCCAAGAAGAAGTATGCTGCTATCAACCTTGTAGAGAAGGATGGGAAGTTCATCGAGAAAATGGAAGTCAAGGGTCTTGACATGAAGCGTCGAGAATACTGTGCTCTGTCCAAGGAGATCTCCCAACACCTTCTAAACGAGATTCTGTCAGGTGACGACACCGAAGTCTCAATCGCCCGAATACATGAGTACTTGAGCGATATTGCTGGCAAGATGCGTGAGCAGACTATTCCTGTTCAAAAGTATATCATCCATACACAACTTGGAAAAGCACCTAAGGACTACCCCGACTCCAACTCCATGCCCCAGGTCCAAGTCGCACTCCGTGAAATGGCCAAAGGCAAGACAGTTCGCAAGGGAGATGTTATCGCGTACGTGATTACGGGCGACAGCAAGAGCTCTGAGCCTGCTCCCAAGCGAGCCTACACTCCCGGTGATCTCAAGGCAGACCCTACTCTACTGCCTGACGTCGAGTGGTACATTGGCAAGCAGATCTTCCCCCCTGTCGAGCGTCTCTGTGCCAACATTGTTGGTACATCAACGTCGCAACTGGCAGAGCACCTTGGTCTAGACATCAAGCGCTACAGTTCATTCCAGACTCAGCAGAACAGCTCAAGCAACGACCTCGAGATCCACCCCTTGGACTCTCAGATTCCAGATGAGGTCCGCTTTGGTGACTGTGCTCGCCTCTCTTTGCGTTGCCGCAAGTGCAAAACCTCATTCGCGTTCGAAGGCCTGGCTACGTCCCCGGATCATGTGTCCCAATCCGGTGTTCTCTGCGGCTCATGTGGTACTTCCATCTCAACACTCTCTGTCGTGGCCCAGATGGAGCACGCCATCCGCACTCAGACAAGCCGGTACTACGAGGGCTGGCTGGTCTGCGATGACAGCCAGTGCGGCAACCGGACACGTCAAATGAGTGTTTATGGTTCTCGTTGCCTTGGGCCTAAGGGACTTGCACGAGACTGTCTTGGTCGGATGCGTTACGAATACACTGAAAAGGCTATCTACACTCAGCTTCTCTACTTCGCCAGCCTGTGGGATGTCGACAAGGCGAAGACCAAGGCCACGAGCACTGAGATGTCCAGGCAAGATCGGGAGAATATCCTTGCATTGGCAGAACATAACCGCGTACGCTTCGGGAATGTGAAGGGTATTGTTGACAAGTATCTCGATAAGTGTGGTCGACAATGGGTAGCCATGGACACTCTGTTCACCAAGTTAGGTTTCAAGCCAATGGCATGAGTTTGTAGAGGGCGCGGAAGGACATTTATGGGCATACTGCGAAACGGTCATGTATATTTGGGTCAGCGGCGTCTTGAGGATTAAATGTTTGCATGGGCTGGATTTGTATAAGGGAGGATTAACAAAGGGATCGACAGCTTCACATGTCAGTAATGAAGGGTTTTTGGCATGCACAAGAGTAAGCGAGTCTTTGTGGTGTTTTGGAGTTTGATGAGAGCGAAGCCTGCCGAGTGCTCGCTACCTACTTACATAGTTTTAGAAAAAGACAGTTTTATTATACTCTTCCCTTCCCAAAACATGTGCTCAACAGTAACTAATTACTAATCACGAGTAAGAGGCAGCAAGTTTTGAACATATATGTAAATTGTCCCTGCCAATGGCCCATGCTTTTTCGAAATTAGATGATATACAGTAAGGCATCATCAAGACCCTTTCATTAAAGCTCAACCAGGCTGAACGCCTCTATACATTATACACCAAGCGACAGAGCCGTCGGCGAACGGTCATGCCCTCCTTCTTGGTACAGCAATGGATATGCCCATGAGGCAAAGTAAAGAGAGCCTGAGTCGTCATCATCAATCATGGTCTTGTTTTGAGAACCCTTTCCTAACCCATCGTGACGTGATGTGATTCGTCAGCGTTAAGTGAGGGAGCAACATCTAAAGCCAGCGAAGGGGCGTAAGCATGGCGAGAGGCTGTCCACGTATAATGAAAAGGCCAGAGAGGAAGAATGCACCGAGAAAACCATTTCATTCCATATCATTCCGTTCCCTTTCGTTCCATCCCCTCCCACGTTCTGCCTCGTTGAGTCCGAAATAAAATTCAACCGCAAATGCCCTGAACACCACCTCCGCCATCCACCCCGAGTCGTACGTATGTATATGACGGTTGCGACGTGATCATCGTGACGCTTCTTACCATCATTACCTCCCCTTTTTTGTGCGTAGCCTCTCCTGGAGATAAAACAGCCAGAAGTATGCTGGCCAACGACAACGTTAGGGTCATGCTGAACCCTTGAACCGGAAATCCTCCACAACATTAAAGAACTGAAACACGCTCGAAGCATGATCAGAAAAGGGGCTGAGGTAGGTGGTAATGAGCACAATGGTGAAGGAAATCCCTAGTCCGATGCAAGGGTCGCCTCTCACGCTGAGAGGAATCGTGTCCGTCTGTCTATGGGCAAGGTATCATGAGCTCTGGAAAAAGAAAATGTGCTCAACTTTTGTGACACGTCTGATAAAAAAAAAGGCCTGTAAATGCAAGAAAACACAGCTCCGCCTAGTCTATTCTGCCGAAATGCAAGACACCGAAGGAAGAAGAATACTTTTACTCGCCCTCTTTCTTATCACTGTCAGGGACAGCCTTCGACATCGCGGGGGAGGCAGAAGTAGACGGGGGCGAAGCCGGGTGATCGTTCTCCATGTTGGCAAGGAGGCTAAAGACATATCAGCAACTGAAATCCGAACATCATGCAAGGCGCCAGTCAAACTTACCTGAATGCATTAGAGTGAGAAGTGTTCTCGCGGGTAGGAGGAGTGCCAGTTCGCGAAGAAGTGGCAGAATCCTCACCACGAGGACCAAGGTAGCCGCCAGGACCCATGCGTCTTCCGCTGTTGCTACGAGAAGAGAGCATTGAAGCAGGGCCAAGAGAGATGTTGCCGCTTGAGGTTCGGTTGGCAGAGCCCTTGAGACGGCGCAGGTCATCCATTCCAACCTGGTTGCTGGTTTGTTGTGCGTAACCAGCCGAGAAGTTGCGAGCATCGCCGCGTCCAACGGGAGGACGACCGCCACCTCGCTGATTAGTGCGAGCAGCCTCCTGAGCCTTGGCAGCCTGAGCGGCCTCAGCCTCAGCTCGAACCTCGTCGAGAGTCTTGGGCCCCTTGTTGGTCTCCTTGGAGTGCCATCCGGCCTTGCGCAGATCGATAACGTCCATGAGCATAAACTTGAGTCGGCTGGGAAGCTCAGGGAGATCCATCATGGTCTGGATGCGCTGGAAGTAGGCATCCATCATGGGTCGACCCTTCTCAGTGCTGTCGAGGTTGCCACCAATAGTCCTCAGCAGCTTGCTAAGCGACTCAACTTCAGCCTCGTCAGGCACTCCCTTATAGTCGACGAGTTTGTGCACACACTCGTGCATGATACGCTCTGTAAGCATGCCGAGCTTGTAAAGTTCACCGATGAACTGGACTAGACCAAGACCACGTCGCTTGGCGGCGGCAGCAGTATAGTACTCATCAGACAGGAGAGCAGCCTCAGCAGTCTTCTTACCCGCAACATCCTCTTCCTCATCAGGCTTGTCAGGCAGGTTGACGGTCCAACCGCGCTCAAACTCCTCCTGACATCTGTTGAGAAGGTACTTGCGGAACAGGTTACCACCGCTGACGACATTACCATTCTTATCTTTGATACGCTCATCACGGACGTCGGGACTCATAGTCTCAAGCATACGTTTGCAGAACTTGGCATACATGGAAGCCCAGTGGGCCTCATCGGTAGCCTTTTCAAAGGTAAGCTGAATGACTTGGCGGAGTGTACGACCGTCAGATTCATCCTTGGACTGGGATGCAATGAGAAGGATCTGGTCTGCAATCCTGTCGAACTTCTCGGGTGTCATCTTGTTGAGTGCCGCCTTGACCTTTCTTTGAACCATATCGGGCTCGAGGTGGCCAGAGGGATTAGCAGCGGCTGCATTGGCGTTCTTGCCAATGCTTGTGGGCTTCCAACCGTTGGCGGTCTGGGCAATGGGCTTCAGCTCCTGGCCAGCAGTCAAAGGCATGGTCTTAGCAGCCTGAGCCTCCCTGACGCCTTCACCACGCTGGCTGCCGCCACCACGACGGCGAGACCCGCGGGGAGAGTTAGGAAGTTGAGAGGGGCCACGCGAGGAGCCACCTGTAGGGAAATTGCTAGGACCACGACCCATGGAACCAATACCAGGTCGCTGCTGGTTGGAAAGGGCGAAACGGAGTTCAGAGGTACTGTTACTGGGGAGAGGTCGGGAAGCGGTAGGGGCGTTGAAGCTGCCCATGGGAAACCCACTGCCGATACCTGAGCTGGGACCACGAGAGCCTCGGCCAGAGCCGCCAGGAGTATTGGTTCTAGAACGGTCATCGCCAATAAGAGACTTGACTTGCTGGCCGAATTCGAGAGACGGCTGCTCAGTGAAGACCTTCTGAAATTGCAACAAGAAATTGGCATCATACTTGAAGGTCTTACCCTTCTTCTGAACCGCTGCATTAAGGGCAGGGTTGGGCGACTTGATGCCAGCAGGGTAAATATCTTGCTCGATGACCTTCAGGAAACGAGCAGACTTGAGCGATTGCAGGGCGGCGCTAGGTTGAGCGGGCTCCACGGGCTTGGTGTTAAGGGGGGCCAAGTTGAGAGCAGCAGGCTTCGCACCGCGCTTCTCGTGCTTGGGCGCAGCAGAGTCGGCAGGCTTGTCGCCTCCAATCTTCATGCTAGCAAGCTTGTCGGTAACGGACTCGACCTTGGTAGGCTCAATGTCCTTGCCGCTTCGAGCCTGAGAGAGGAGTTCGGCAACTGAGGGAGCAGATGAACCGCCCTGTTGGCGTCGCTTCTCCTTCTCCTCCTCAAGACGCTCCATCTCGCGCTCTTGTTCTCGGAGCTTGCGGTCTTCCTCAGCAGCGTTCTTAACACGGTCCTTTTCGGCTTGTTCCTTGTCAAGGGCCTTCTGTGCCTCAACCTTCTTGCGATGCTCTTCCTCGGCTTTCTCACGGCGAGCATCCTCCTCCTCCATCTCACGGATCATACGCTCCATCTCTTCCTCTTCAGTTTCTTCCTTCTTAGCAGGCTCAGCAGGCTTCTCAGCCTCCTTCTTGGGCTCCTCTATCTTGGGAGTGGCTTCAGGAGCCTTGACCTCGGGCTCGGGCTTGCTTTCAGGCTCAGCCTTAGTAGAGGGTGCAGGCTCGGCTTTGGTCTCGGTGGGCTTGACCTCAGGTTGCTCAGCAGGCTTGTCTTCGGCCTTGGCTGCAGGCTCAACGGGCTTTGGCTTATCCTCCTTTGGAGGCGCCTGTGTGGCTTGCTTGATCTTCTCTTTAAGCTCATCTTGAATCTGCTTAGCAGTCTTGGGGGCAGCATGGCTATCAGTGCGGCCGTGAGAGGGGGTAGATGGCTTAGGAGGTGGGGTAGATGAAGCAATCACAGGAGGAGTCTTGGACTGCTGAATGCTGGGAGCGGGAGACGAGGGAGTTTTGAAGGACGAAGTGTCAATGACTTCACCCGCAGCGTTCTTGATCTGGATAGCGGCGCTCTTCTTAGGCACCTTGACAAAGCTGTTTGCGGTGGGCTTCAATGACGAGTTCTGGGGCTGAGGGGTAGATGATACAATGACAGGAGCATTTGGCTGGCTGGCGCTTGGTGGCCTCTCGGGCTGAGAGGGTGTTCGCGACATGTTGTGAGTATGCTGTGTGTAAGGAGTGACATAATTTTGTCCGTAACTTGGAGAGTTAGCCTGAGGAGGACCAGCCATATACGGCATATTGGCATAGTTGTATTGCATCGACAGTGGGCGTCCGAAACCATCCACCTGCGGGGGAGGATAACCGTAGTTCTGTTTTTTTAAAGTTAGCATGTATTCAAAGAAACCACTTCCTGGTGACAAGTCGAGAGACGCAGTTGGTTCATTTAAGGACAGGGGTTGAAAAGGTTTTCTGGGATAGCTGAATGACGGTACACGCGAGCTGCTGGTGTCTTGTTCTCGCCATGGTTGATCTAAACGTTTACTGAAACGCCGACGTTGGTTGAACTCGTTCCCATGCAGATCTCGTGACGATTCTTGCGGGTGGTTGACCTGGACCGACTTTTCCAGGTCGCCACGCTTCTGCTTATTCTTTTTGCTGTTTTTCGAAAAAGGCTTATCAACTTGGGAAAGGGGGTACTGTACTTGTTGATGCTGTTGAGGCATGGGGGGCTGGTAATGGTATTGAGGCGCCATGCCGGGCTGCATGGTGGCAGGCTGCATGTTAGGAGTACCCGGGAGCGAGGGCACAAGAGCCGGGCTTCGCGCAGGCTGAGGAGAGTTGGGGTACTGAAGGCCACGACCCTGAGGCTGGAAAGCTGGAGGCATGCCACGACCCTGACCAGGGCCGTTGCGGAACTGGTTAGCGGGGGGGAAACCCATTTGCGAGCTGTAGTTGCTGCCATGGGGATTATATCCGCGGCCACGACCACCCTGGGGCTGAAAGTTGCCTCGACCGGCGCCGTCGCCTTGTGCCGAATGGCCAGACTCACGTCGGAAGTGGGCTCCGGGCTGTGCATTGGGGTTCGTGGGAGTAGAGCCCTGCCTCATGTGGCGCTAGAGAGTAAGTCAGTGATGAGTCCGAGAGGAATTATTTTGCAGACGAATCTGAACCTACTTCGCCATCGCTACCGAGACTGCCAAATGTCATTGTGTTACCACCTGCCTGTTGGAGACCAGAAGGAGGTCGGCCACCACTGGCTGAAGGCTGAGGAATAGGCGAAGGTGAGTGAGCAGGAGAGGGAACTCGAGCATTTCCACCACCAGGGATAGGAATAGGCGCAGCACTGGAGGACTGAGGTGTGCTGTTGGCCATTGCAGGAGAGTCGTAACCGAACTGAATGCCGGGCTTGCCAGCACTGACGGGGCCACCGTTGGCGACAAAGCTGTTAGGACCGTTGGCAGCCATGGTGACGGAGCTCTTGCGAGAATGATCGGAACCGTTGAGGTTAGCGCTGCTGCGAGTGACAGCAGGGACAGCGGGGGTGACGGCGGGTTTGCCGTTCACAGGAGACGATGAGGCGTCTTTCGCATTCTGCGAAGAAGACGAAGCTCCAACCACCGCGGGAGGGTGGGATCCAGTTGCGACTATAGGGGCCTGAGCAGACTTCTTAGGCGCACCTGCAGCAAAGGCATACGAAGAAGCCGTAGTCGCGGGAGTGTTGTTCGCCTGGATGGGGTTCTGCTGGTTGACAGGCGACGTCATATGGGGAGTTCGGTGCCGTTCGCGATGTGAGATTGCGGTGGTGTTGGGATTTTTTTTTTGTGGGCGTCGAGGGAGAAAGCGGAATAGATGGCGCCGGGTGCCGGGTAGGGACGTGGAATTATTCGAAGCTGCAGCGGGGCAACAAGATTCGACGACGAAGAGAGACGCACAAGTCGTTTCCCTTTTTAAAAAATAAACGAAACACCACGATCTCAGGCGGGAGATCTCGTAGAAAGAAACGACGGTAAGTCCGATGGGCGGCTCGAGAGGTCGAGATAGGCCGAATCGAATCGATCGATCACAGGTGAGCGAACAAGGAGTGCAGTCGTACCAATGAAGGCGATCGTAGAGGCAAGACGGGTCAAGCTACGTACGATCCTGCGCGGCAGCGACAGAAGAAGAAACGGAGGGGAGAGGGTCGCTGTGATGGTCTTAACACACACAGGACGTGTTTCCAAAGCAGAAGCAAATGGAAATGGGTCGGGTTAGAATATTTTCCACCGGACCAAGAAGGTTGAGTTGGTGAGGATTCAGAAAAAGCCGGCAAAAAATTTTG